TCTTATTAGATAAGTCATCCATATGCATTATAAAAAAAGAAATTGAAAACTACAGATAAGCAGTGTGATATGTGATAAGTTTCTAAAATGACTCCAATGACCCAAGGCCTTGTATACTCCACCCCCTTGAATATGAGCAAGACCTATGGATATGACAGCATATTATTCCTGTGATTATGTTACTTTATATGGCAAAAGGGACTTTCATAGATGTAACCCCTAATCTGTTCAGGTAATCCTGGGTGGGACTGACTTAATCAGGTGGACTCTTAAAGGAGGTCCAGAAGTTGGAGGTGGAAGAAGTCAGGAAGTCACTCCTGCGGGCTTGGCAGAAAACAAACATTCATGCTGTCAACTCCCTATAGGGCCACATAGCAAGGGACTCTGGGTGGCCTCTGGGAGCCAAGAGTGGTCCCTGGCCAACAGCTAAAGAAAACAAGGGACCTCTGTTCTGTAACCATAAGCAGCTGAATTCTGCCAACAACCTGAATGAGCTTTGAAGACGGTCTTGAGCTCCAAATGAGAACTACGGTATGGTTGACACCTTCATTGTAACCTTGTAGAACTCTGAGCAGACGATGATGCTAAAGTGAGCCTGGATTCCAGACCCAAGGACACTGCAAGACACTAAATGTATTTCGTTTTGTGCCACTACACTTGTAGCAATTTGTTATATAGCAATAGAAAATGGATACAACTAGAAAGAAAAATTTTAATTCACATAATCCACTGGCTGCTTGCATATACTATGTATTATTTTATGATTTGTTAATTTTTCATTCACTAATATGTCATGATTATCTTCACCTGTCATTAAACAGTCTATCACATAATTTTCTAAGGGCTGCACAGGACTCCATATATGGATGTAAATTTTTTATTTTTCTCTATTACACACATGTGACTCATGTAACCAATCTTGTTTCCTTCTTGGCGTTTGCTGTTGGGAAGCTCAGAGCCAAATTTGAAATCTGCCTCTGGCAATTGTACCTGCCTGGCCTGATCTTTGGCTTTATCTTATTCTTCCTGCCCTTATTCTTTGCAGTGACTTCCCCCCCAACCCCCCACTTACTGTTTATTGCCCTGGCTGTATTTCTTCTTACACAGTTATAGATCCCTTACGTAAAGGCTTTTTAAATTTATTTGTTTTTCTTTGGTCAATACTATTGGGAACTAAAATAAAATTTTAAGGCTCACCCTCCCACCGGCTGACTAAATGGACCCCCTCGTGGCCAAAGGAATATCCTAAAACTAAATTGCCTGCCAGGAGGAAGGAGGTCAGACATGTCTTATTATGCCCCCCTCCCTTCTTGGGGACATCCTTTGTAACCCATTAACAGGCCTAAGGGTATGCAAGACAAACCTGCAGGTCCTCAATTTACACAACAAATCTATGTCCAGTGACTTATCTCTGATAAACAGCTCCTTATGTTGAAACATTCCAAGCCTTTAGACAAAGCTTCATGTCTTTAACCAATTACAGGCCAAAGAATCTTTAAACCC